GGGGGGGGTCTAGCTTTCACTTTCTCTGCAGTTTAACTCCCCGTGTTTCCTTTCTATAAATTCATACTTCCTGGCAACAATCATATCAGCAAGAAAAAAAAAAGAAATATCTAGCTTTATGTGAACCATACAGCTTCTTTTTATCTGAGTCATCTGAGTAACCAGTACTCATTTTTTTCCGAGTGAAAACATATCACATTCTAACCATAAGAAATTCTATTGGAATACTAAAAATTATACCAATTATTTCAGTTAAATATCTTTGTTTCCTCTTACTCCAATTACTTGAGACTTAAGAGTTGTCAAATCCTCAAAAGCTAAATGCTGTACCATTACAACATATTTAGACACAGGTAAACAAATTTCAGAAGTTATAACCTACTCAACAATGTTAAAAGTAGCATCCTGGGCAGAAAGGGCAGCCTCCTAGGTCATAAAAAAAGAAATTATAATGCTTTACAAGCTTTACTATCACTTCTCTACAGAAAAATCCTTTGGTAAGAAGGACTAAACAGAGGCCCCAAAATAGAGATGCCACTACTAATTTCAGGTAAGGTAGAGAACATTTCTATTTCCTTGTTGATTCTTCTTCCATAATAATTTTCCTTTCTGCTTGTTATACCCCACAATAGCAAGTGAAGTGAGAATGGAAACACAGTTTGTTACCTGATGATTTCTGTTCTGTTCTGGGACTGACCTCTCCCAAGGAAGAGGATCCAAGGAAACTCCAGACTCATGTGGACAAGTCTGAGCTACCATCTATAATTGAGGAAGATTGGTACTGGCCATATATCTTGGACAAAGGAAAAGGTAGGACTCAGAAAAGAAATCATCAGGTAGCAGATTTTCCATATTCTGCCATTTCAGTTTTAGTGCGGTTTTTGAGAGCCAGTAATCTCTCAAACACTTAGACTTAGGAATTAATTATTTATATCTTCTGAAAGCTAATGGTACAAGTTAAGATGTGTCATCTACCAGTAGTTCTAGCTGTAGTGATTCTCAAGATGCAGTCAATTGAAATCCAAGAAAGAAATAAAGTAGGAGTAAAACAGATAAGAGAGAAATTAAAAACAGATAAGAGAGAAATCAGAATAATAGGAAGACTCTGATGACAGACTCACAGAAATTACAAAAACTCAGTGCTTAGAAGTTAGGTACCTAAATAAAACCAACATATTTTTCAGTTACTATGCTAACCAGGGTCGTAGCAAGGTGGGAAGCAAGCGGGGTGACTGCCCTGGGCGCTGAAGGGACTCCAAGAGGTGTGCCCAGCTGGGGCGGGAGACGGGATGGAGCTGCAAGCGGCTCATTTGGAGGGCCATGGAGATGGGGGTAGGGGGCTCCCACCACTGTGTGCACCCTCGGGCAAGCATGGGGTGCCATGTGTCCCCTGGATCTGTGCATGGGGCGAGGGCAGGCTGCCACTGTGGGCTTTGCCCCGGGTGCCAAACTTAATTGCTACAGCACTGATGCTAACTGATTTGAAAGGTACTGTGCATGCACATCATCACTGAGTATCGGGCTGCTTTTATTTAGGTGCCTAATTATGGATTTAGAAGCCTGACTTTAGGACATCCTATTTTGAAAGTGTGGCCCTTAGTTTCTCTTCCTTGTGGTTAGTAAGACTTCCTGCCTTGAGTTTCCTTCCTGATTGCTCATTCCTTGGACCAAGACAAATATCACTATTAATCTTTTATCTCATGTATTCTGTAATAATCTGCCCGACAAGGTACTTAATATTAACCACTTTTCATTGTGGATACCTTATCTGCATGGCTGGGATAAAGGATAGATGACATTCTACAATAAATGAAAAGACTTTTTTGCCTTTTGTGTACTAAGATTATATTTGATGATCTGTATCATACAGAAAAGATTGGAAGATTTATTTATCCTTCGAAGAAAACATCTCAAAGATCCCTCCCTAAACCTCAGTTTAGTTTTTGCTTTAAGCTTCATTAGAATATATATTTTTCTGTTGTTAGGAAAATATAAGAGTTTTCACTGAACCTCCTTCCCCTTTAGGCCCACCATGTCCTGCTGTGGCAACTTGGCCTCCCCACAAATACCCACCGTGAGCTAGCCTACCTCTGGAACCCCCCCACCCACACAGCCACACATTTCACCAGCTTGCTTTAAGTCATTATTTATTCCATTACAAGCATTGATTTGACAATTTTCTCCAGACCGGAACCAAAAAAAGGCATGTGTTAGACTGTAGTCAGGAGACTGTAGTCAGGTAGTCACGTAACTAATTTTAGTTTATGTGGATTATGATAATTCCATAACCTATGAGAAAGAGTGACAGGAAGTTTTTTCAGAAACCAATGAGCATCTGAAGCTCTCCTTTTCTACCCAAGACCATCTTCCTGTCACAAACAAATGTTCAGAAAATGCATAAATCTGCATATGCCACTGCTATTATTAAAGGGAAAGTTGCTCCACTTTATCCCTTCACTCTGCGAACCTAGATAAAATTGTTGTAATAACAGGAAAGCTGTTTAGATGGAGGTCACTGGGTATCAGTGAGAAGGGTCCAATTGAAGGGATGCAACTGCATACCAAAGATAACCTGAATATTCTTTCCTGTGACTAAGATTTTGTCAGATGATTTTAGCAGTTTATAAATTAACTGAATTCTGGTTTATTTATTCTTTATCATGACATAACTATTCATTGGTAAGTGATGCAGAAATACCCAACTTTTCACGATTTGAAGCTGAGACATGTTTTATGGCCAACACCAGCTTTATTTGCTTGGAAAAATATAGAATAGACTTTTTCTAAAAAGGATGAGAAATTATCCTTTAGGCCATCCTACACTGGAAATGCAGTTTTGCTGAACAGCTGTATCTGAAGGTTTTTCTTACTCTGTCTCTCAAAAAAAAATCACAGCAAAACTGCTGACTGTAGGTGGCTGCTTATGGCTTGGGTATCTAGAGAAAAAGGATTGACCGTATCTAAAGAAAAAGGATTGACCTTTTAGGGATTTCTGCCTTAGTATTAAAACGGCTGAATCCTCTAATGTACTGGAGGACACTAGTTTGATTCTTCCCGCTGTGTCTCCCATTAATTGTTTAACCATCAAAGAGAGGTAACTTTTAAAACAATTTCAACCAGCATTTTCCAGACTGAGGCTAATAGTTTTCTTGCAGAATCAAGAGGGGAGACAGTTACAGCCCTATCTTCAACTGAAAGAGGAGGGGCAGAAGAGGGAAGTGTTGAAGTGTCATTTCACAGAAACCCTCTAGTTTCCACAAACAGGCTAATTTCTGTCCCCAAGAACAGCCCCAGTGGGCACAGCTATTTATAGTGTTGCCATGTGGGCTTAAATTTTTGCTGCCCAAAACAATGTAATTCAAAACAGGTTTAAAAAACGTAGAAAAATGCAGAGTTCCCCCTTTTTTGAGCATTTTAATCGCCTATATATAAAAAAATAATTTTTCTGTCAAGTGTTTCAGTAAGATATGAAGCCACTTTCACTACAAATCCTCCCCCTGGACAGGCTTATAGATAACATTCTCATCTGAAAAGATTAACAAAGAAAGTTAGAATTATGGCCTGACGGTGTTAGAATTTCACTTCATCCACACATGGGGATTTGAGAATACAAGAAAGACTCCAGAGAAAATCTGTTACAGGTGAATGAGATCTTAGATTAGACAGGAGAACCCTCTTATTTAGATTTGGGTCATTTTTGTGGCAGTATTAATGAGAGAATGTACAATTATTAAATGACCTGAAAAAAAGCCTAGAAATTACTTTATAGAGAGCGACAGAAATTGAAATATTTTATTCACTCAATTCCTTTTCAAATTGTTTTTCTGACAAATTCACACACAGAAACACTGGACTATGATGCTGGCAACAGGGTGCAGTAAAAAATAGAATTTTATGGGCTTCCACTTTAAAGCTGCTAATGGACCTCGGGGCTCCAGTCCGAAAAATGCTGCCACAGCAGGTGCAGAAAAGGTCCTGTTGCAGTCACAAATATTTTGACATCATCATGGATGCCAACAGCTAGAAGCAATTAAAAGAGTTACCTTTTGGAAGGGTAGGAAAGAGACGGCTTTAGCTTTCCTTAAGGGAAGCATGTTACAAATCTTACTAGAGTGACTCTGGGACTTCACTGTATCTCCGAAGTACACATGGCACTTACAGTAAAGTATCTACCAAATAAAATACAAAGTAAAATTCCCTTCCAAAGTAAAAGCTGACTTCTCTGGAACTTCTGCAGAGTCAACCAGTTTACCCAGGGCCACCACCTACCCATTCCACTTTACAGACTTCTCATTACAAAGCTGATATTTTTAATTGGAGATTAGTGAGACAATTTTCTTAACAAAGTACGCTTCCCCAAATAATTTGAAAATAACATTGACAATATAACAAAACTTAAAGGAAAAAAGGAGAGAAAAGTTCATATAATCATACATGAAAAAGGTGCAACTTTGGAAAAAAATGAGGGAATTAATTGACAGTTTAATTCTGAGCAGTCCATTTGACATTTTTATAGTCCAAACAGAAAAATGTTCAGCTCTGCTTAACACAATGGGATGGGGCAAAGCAGCAATTTGAGATTACCCCAAGCACAAATTCTACTTTTACTTAACCTAACAATCAAAAATGTGAAGGTACAACAGAAGATCTAGAAAGGCTGAATCTAGAAGTCAGACTTCTGTCTCTACAAATAATACACAGCCTTGAATTTTCCAAAATATAAAATCAGCATTTGTCCACTTTTCTCTCGCTGTCTGGCAAATATTTTAAATATTTAAAAGCACATTGAAATATCTGTTTATGAATAATTATAACCTCAAACAAAACCTATTTTTATATCACACAGTCAGCTTTGGAGAAAAGTCTTCCTGGCTTGTTACACTAATAAAATAAAATATAAGATTAGTGTATGAAACCAACTGTAAAAGTTCAGAGAGGAAACATTAGCTTCCCATTCATTAGAAAACTTGTCACCAGCTTATATATTGACTTCCAGGCATTATTCACACAAAGAAAAAGAGGCATTTTCAAGTCGTAAATCCAAGTTTGGTTTGCCTTTTGTCGCTGAACCCAATGAGCCGAGCCCTAATTGGAATTAATCCCAGATACTCACAGGGGGAATGAGGGGGAATCCTTCCATTTTGCAAGCTTGCAACATTCAGCCAACTTCTTAGCGAATGTTCTGACTTCAATTTTCAAACATCCAGAAAACTGACTTTAAAAATCACATCAAACAAAAAATACAACAAAAATGAGATCCTTGGACTCCTTGAAGTCCCCGTACTGTGATGGATCTCAGGATGGGAGAAAGGCCCTACCACATTTTCATACTTTTCTCTAATAGGTTCTGAGGTGAGGTCCTTTCCTACTTGTATCCGAAGTTCCTGATTTTATCAAATGTCTGTAGAAGTGAGATAGTGCTGGGGCTCTATCAGCTCAGCATGACGTAGGCCTCACCCCTTTGCATAAATCTGAATTCAAGAAGCAGGAAATCTGTCACTAGGCAAGTACTTACTACATAACGAACAGGACAGCGCTCAAGCATGCTCTGGTACAGTGTATGATCAACTGTGAAAGACTGAAGTGCCTTCATACAAGTAGAGTTTGAGGCATAATGGAGTCACTGCTGTGTAGTTTAAAGCAGTAACACTAGTCTGCATTAATGTCAACCCCTAAATCTAAAATGACAGGAGTCTGAAGTTTGCATTATTACCCTGTATTACCCTATAACAGTATGCCCTGTTTTGGGATCAGGCAGCCACACGTGCCAGTTCTGCGATACTCACCAGGGGTGGGGGAGGCAGTAGTGGGCATGGATCTGCAGGCTCAACAATATGCTCTAACTTTATACAAAGGTTTGGAGAGAAGCCTATGAACAATGTTTGATATTTTCTACAATGGTGTGCACCTTGATCTCTTGTACATTTCCTCCAGACCTCTGTTCTTAATGGACCTAGAAAGAGGAAACCACCTGGGCAGCCGAGCTCTACTTTAGAAGAGAACATTTAGTGGTAAGTGGAGGAAGCTTCCTTTTTTGTCCTGGTGACACTAAGGAAGAACCCAAAGATTCAGATTGGAGAATTTTCCTGAAGAGACTCTGGTCATTTCTCCTACCTGCCCTCACTCTACCTCTTTGTCCCACTTTTTTCCTTGTAGTTGGCTTCACTGGAAATATGCATCCCATCATTGTGAGTAGTTTAGGCAGGCAAACGAGAAGGCCACTGGTGCAGGATGCAGGGTTTAGGGCCTTGTAGCCTGTGAAGAACTCACATTCTCTCACTCTGCAAAATACCTCCTCCCTTTGCAGTTAGTGGTTCACATTGTGGAAAAGTGAAGTTTGGTCAATTGGATTGTTCCCCTTCACTCTATGCTCCTGTGCCACAGGTTCTGCTTTTGGAAGTAGCCTGCTCACCGCTTACCTGGGACTGTGTGAAGGGGAATTTCAGCTAGTGCAAAACTTCCTCCCTCATACACTGGTAAAACCAAAGGCTGGTCACAAGTTCCTCTCTTTCCCCACCCTAAGGAACCCCAAAAACACTGTTAGCATTGGGATTGGATCAAGCACAAGGTGGGAGGGAGATTAACCCCTGAAGTTCTGGATTTAGTTTTTTCCATATTGACTGGTTCATAAGCATTACATCCTTATCTTGCTAGCACCAGATAATCTGATACTTAACCTAGAGGAAAACAAGCTACTAAATAGTCAAGTTGGGCCATATTTATCTCTAAAATAAATTCAAGGCTCCAAGTTTCTCTCTGATAGGATAGTGAAGAGAATGCCCCCAGGTAAATAATATATTTTAGTGCCAAGAGATGCTTTTAAAAGGGGGAATTACATAAATGGGGATCAGATTTAATTACTGAGAGAGAGATATAAAACTAGCTAAAATCAAATGCAGAGTCCTCCTTAATGGTTCATTGTCAAGTAAGATCCTGTAGGGGTCTAGTACTATTAAATATTTTCATAAATAACTTGCAGAATAAAGAGGACAGTTTATTAGTCAGATTTATTACTGGCACAGGGCTAAGAGGAAGTCAAAAGTATTTTGGAGAGTAAACAAAAATAAAGCATAGTCTTGAGAATAAATTGTCAAAATTGTCAAAATCAATAAAGTTAAATCAGTTAAGTGCAAGTTGGAAGGAGCAGTGAAATACGTAAGTCTTGCATATAGATAACTGGTTGGATAGTGTTTAAAACAGATGATAAATTGAGCTAAAGTAGTCAGTGTCACTATGATATATATTAAATAAACCTGTGTACAGAGGAGATATGTTGACTGACTATGGTGAAATATATGTTAAACAGTTACTGGATGATAAAAAACACTAAAATGGTGTTAAATGGAGGTGTTTTTCTACTAAAAGGGTAATATAAAAGTATTTAGTATACCGGTGGTACTCCAGGGTTATTGCTGGGATGGGAAATTGCCTAATAAGGATTGATTTTTTTGCACAGGATTCACAGTACACAAAAGAATATTAGAAAGGGACTAGGTAATAATTAGCTAGTAAATAAAGAGCATAATAAGACATCATTAAGCTTGAGCAACAACAGAAAATATATTAGAGATATAAGAACAATTCAGCAACTGAACAAGCCAGGGAAGGTGATAGAATACCCATCCCACGCCCCTATTAAATCAAATTGGTTATATGTTACAGGGTGGTTGAATTATCAATTTATAATACAATAAAGCATCATTATACAGAGAGAGCTTTAATGAGGTCATCTACCAAAAGTACAACAGACGTACTTCATAATCCTTTTTTCTCTACTGCCTCTGTCAACCAGCTCCATGGAAGAGGTCAAAGTGCTTATAGGGTAATTACCAGAAATATAATTTTTCTCTTTCTAGCTGCCTATTCCCATTGCAGACCATCTCACGTGTTATTTCCATTTCTCTCTCTCTCTCTTTCAAGTGTAATATGTCAAGGTATCTACTATTATAATTTTGTATTTATGCTGTTCATGACTGCCGTAAAAAGTGTACAGTCTTATGTTATATGTAACATAGGGAGAACAAGTGGCAAGATGAGTAGGGAAATGAAGGCCAAGGTTTATACAAATTAAGTGAATCAGTTTCCTGGTTTTGCAGTGGGATATTTCCACCTTTGTTTGTTTATTTGTTGTAATTCCTGTATTTTCATATTCATTTAGTGTAGCATTTGGGCAGACCTAGACAATTAGAAGTAGGGATTTTTTTAAGGGGGAAAGTGAAGTTGCATGGAATACTGGATCAATGTTGTCATTTCAAGCAAGTATGGGAGAAAGTACAGAGGCTTTTATTCAAGACAACTACAAAGGATTCCTGAAATAAACTGAGCTGGCAAAACACATGGTCCATGTTGGTAAGTGGTAGAAGATAAGAGCTGAGTTTAAGGAATTCTAGATTTTAGATTCTTATTCTAGGATTCCTAGATCCTAATCAATTTCTGCAATCTAGACACCTTTTCTCAGGAGGGTGATTCAAAGTGGCATAGTTGGATGCTGAAGTGCCCTATAGACTGAATGGGGAGGACTAGGTGCCTCCCAAGTGTGATTTAGATCACCTTGTCACTCAGCCAGGAGGTGCCTACAATCAGTCAATGGGAAACACTAGACACAGGGTGACTCTGAATTCCCAATCCTCAAGTTTGATCAGAGGGGTGAAATCTATCTGAATCAAGATGCCTAAATGACAGCAGCATTGAGTTCAGTATAAATAGAATTAGCACCTGTTTGCTCTTGAGCATAACCATTAGTGGTATTGTCCACCTTTTGCCCAACAGCCTAATGGTAAGAGTACCTTCTGCACTGGGCCACAGAGTCACAGCAGGACGTGGGAAATAGGAACGTAAGTCCCTTCAGGGTGAGTAAGGCTGAGAAACCAGATATCTGACTTTCCTGGAAAAAGCCCTAACCATTACATGAGTGCTGAAAGGTGGGTGGCACTGGCCTTACCACCATATCTTCTGGCAGTGGCTATGTGTTGCTTACTGAGCTACATATATACCCTCAGAGTACTGTTTACTATATATGCTCCAACCTTGTCTAAGGAATCTGGGGTTTAGGTGGAGTTTAGATATCTCCTGTCAGTGATCTGGATTGCACCAGAGGTTAGATGGGAGCAAGGCAAGTTTGGATAGCTTCTGAGCATGCTGTTTAGGCACCTAGGGTGCATCCCCACAAATGGGAACAAAGAGGAGCAGTACATAGTTGTGTCACTGCTCCTGCATGTTCCTGCACATACACTCTGGTGCATAGCAAATTAGCTCAGGTGGGGTAGGGGAGCCTGGGGCCAGCACCTGGGCAGGCCCCAGCAGCCTTACCTGGGGCTCTGGGACCTCCTGGGGCTGCAGCAGCAGCAATCTGGGCACACAGAGGCTGGCCACCAGTGTGACTCTGGCCAGCCAGGCTCCCATTTTGGGTGGTGCATGCTGCAACCACGTGCCCAGCCCTGCTTTTTTTTGGCACTTTTTTTTCAACACTGGGATCTCCCAGTGTCAAAAACCCCCATTGTATTACAAATTAGCAGCATGGCGAATGCATGCATGTGCAACATGTGCAGTTTGTGGCTCCACAGACAGGTTTGTGGATGTGCCCTTAGGGATCGTTTCAGGCCAATAAGGAAATACCTAAGTGGTTTTAGAACTCCTGAGCAGAGTAATTTTTGATCACTTTTTGTGACTTGAATGAATACATTCTGCCTGAGTCTGGTTTTGTTACCTACAAAATGTATTTAGAGGACTATGTAGAGCTTTGAAGACAAGGATAGGTAATTTCAACTTGATATAAAAAAAGGTGTGGAGCCAGTGAAATTACCTGAAAATGGGGACAACAGTCTAAGCAATGGGGGAGAAAAATGAGTTCAGCAGTGGTGTTTTAAATAAACCACAGGGCACAAAGCCAGTGAGTACTTCTGCACACAGGTACATAACTGTACCTGTGCATACCTAAGCCTAAGTCCTAAAATTAGAGCCCAGCAAAAAATGGCACGGGCAGGTGTGTCTTCCTGTGTTTTAGCCCAATAGTCTAAGGGTTAGGGCACTCGTCCAGGGGGTGGGTAAGGCCCAGGTTCTAACCTGGGGTGGACAAAATACAGCCCCTGGGCTGGATCTGGCTCACCAAGTGATTATGTCCAGCCCACAGCAGCTCTGTCTGTAAGGCATGTGTGACTGATCCCACTACTCCCAGGTGCAGAGGTGCTGCCAGGTGTGCAATGCAGCCCACCCTATCCTGTATGCAGCTCTCGGGCATGCTGGGAGCAGTAGTCCGGGGGTGGGCAGCTGGGCAGGGATGGTCAACTTGGCTTCCTGGCAGCCCCTGTGGTGCTGACTTGCTCTGCCCTCATACTTCGGCTGCTGTTGTCGGTGTCTCCACTGCTTCCATTCTGGCCAGCCCCACTG